GCAAGCTCTTCCTAGCTCCTCGATCACTTTTGCCCGTTGATCAGGAGAACCAGAGGTGAGAAGAGCAAAATCAATGGTGGGGATTGAGTGTTCGGGGTCATTTGCATCTCCTTGTTCATTAGGATTTTTGGTATAAGTGTACTCGGAAGGTACAGAACTGAGAGCAGCTGAGGCAGCTAGTCTTTTGATGCTTGCAACTTCGGTTTCATGACCATTGGATGCCTCAGTTAATGAAGTTACTGCAGGTGCCATTGGAAGAGAGATTGAAAAGGAAGTGTGTTTTGAGAACGAGAGATGTTTAAATGAAGTGTTTGAAGTAGGGATGGAAGGCTTATGCAAATAATGGTTCATATTTATAGGCAAGAAATCTAGGTTTTTCCACGTGAAACGAATAATCTATAAATAAATTGGTTTTTAATTTAGAGAGCGAGTGATCTGATAAGGTCTCCAAGCTTGACCAAGCCTACCAAACTCTGTCGAATAACACAAGAAAACGTGGATTCTATTTTTAAGCTCTATTTATATTTAGGTGTAAAAAGTTAACGACTATTTTTTATTTTCATATTGTAGATTGTTTAAACAACTATTTTTCACTAAAAGTCCATTGACAGAATTGACGAATTAAACTAGTTTTCTTGTTTGGTTGTTGATAAATAAACTAGTTTCAGACCTACTTGCCTGACTTGTGTTGGGTTGAGTATAAGATGTCGAGTTTTGAATGTCTCAACATTATTTTATTGCTATACAAATAGAAACAAAATAAAAAAGATACTATCTTGCAGTGAAGTTTCTCTCTCTTCCTCTCTTTAAAATTTCATAACTGTAGGAGAGGGAGAGAGTTGAATAACAATTTAGGATGTTGTGAACCATATAATTTCTGAGTGATAAAAAAAATAAAAATAAAAAGAACCATCTGATTTGTTCTTCGTTTTAAAGAAAGTTCAAATTAATGGGCCAATAAGGTATAACGTTTCACCTAGAACATAACTTGCACCGCATAGCACCGCTGTCTAGTTTTGAACGTCTCAACAATAGAAACAAAATGAAAAAGATTCTAGATTCTTTTAGGTGTATACTATTTGCATAACCCATTCAAAATCCATTGGACCAAGCCTCCTAAACTTTTGAAAGTGTGTTAATTTAATTAATGGACACAAATAGTGGCATCCATTACAAAAGTTTATATAGTCATGTGTCACGCATGATGCCTTTTTGAAGGATTTTTCGATCAAAACATATGTGGATTACATCCCTCCATTACTATTTCTTCTTGCAGTGAAGTTTCTCTCTCTTCCTATCTCTAAAATTTCATTACATTAGGAGAGAGAGAGAGAGAGAGAGATGAATAACAATTTAGGATGTTGTGAACCATCTGATTTCTGAGTGAAAAAATTAAAAAAGAACCATCTAATTTGTTCTTCATTTTAAAGAAAGTTCAAATTAATAGGTCAATAAGGTGTAACTTTTCACCTAGAACATAACCTGCACCGCATAGCACCCATATCTAGTGTACGATTGTAAACCAAACTTTCTAGAACATATGTATTATTTTATTATAAATTTCTATTTAATCAAATCAACTATAATAGAACAGATATAATGTTAATTGCAAGAGAGAATGAACGCATATATATATATATATATATTTATGTAGAAAACTCACTTTTGGGCACTGATAGATCCAAGAATTTTTTAACGAAGGTGCAATTTTGAAAGGTTAAAAGCTTTAGTAAAAAAAAATGACAACCAAATATCCTTATAATTTAAACAATACCAATGTCATTCATAAGTCATAGAAAAAAAATAGCATTACAAATAACCTACAACTGTTGTCGACAAGCTTTCATATCATGTGCAAGAAGGAAAAAAAAAACGCAAAATTCTTGTGATGCATGCACACTTGATAAATTTGGGTGATGTTAAATTGGTCATTTATAAAGAGAACTCTCAATCCCACTTAAATAAGGAATTGTGCAAACCCTATTAAAGCCCAATTAAATAAAGAGAACTCCCAAAAATTCTATAGTGAGAGTGCCATATATGGACCTCTCATGTGGACCTTCATATTAGCCACAAGATCATTTCATTAAACTTAAGTGAAGTTACTTTTCAGATGAATCATGTGGCTAATATGAAGGTCCATATCAATTGTCCAAAACATACTTTCGTTGAAACAAAGAAATGTCATGTTTTGATCTAGCAACTTCTATCCCAAGGAAGCACTTTCATTCCTTCGCAAGATACTTTTGCAATTTTTTCATCTCATCATCATCACGAGTAATGCACCATATCATCAACATATAAGATCAAAGTAGTGAGTTTGCCATTCGGACACTTCAAGAACAAGGTATGGTGTGAATTACTTTGAGTATATTCAAATTTCTTCATAGATGTAGTAAACTTCCCGAACCATAAACAACTCTCTTGTATGTCTCCATGAAAGTAGATATTTTTGACATGTAATAATGGTCAGTCTAAATTAGCAGCTAGAGACAAAAAGAACATGTATTGTATTAGCATGTAATAATGGTAATTCTAAATTAGCAGCTAGAGGCAAGAGAAGCAAATGTATCTTGGTAATCTCCATCATATGTCTAACAACCGGCTTTATACCTATCCATCATATATCATATAACTGATTTATATATGATGCATATGACTTTGACAATTTATAAGCAGACACATGGTTACTAATAGGATATTTGGTATTGAATTTAAGATCACAAGAATATTTAGTTTTGGATGTGCAATAGTTAGATCGAGAAGGAAGCTTATACGGCACATCAATTGAAGTCTCAAAAGATTAAAGGGTTATCTCATGTGTTTTGTTGTCATGAATCGATTGAGTCACTAGCAGAGCAGACCGGAGTATACATTGCAACATACTTTATCGCGTAAGTGGGGCATGCTTGGGTTTTATGGGCTGCAACCATCTTCTTCAATGTGTGGCTTTTGTTGTATCCGTCCAACTTGGGGTTTAGACCATTGGGGATGCATTTTTTACTTGAGTTGCTGTATTTTGCTATCTCGTGGTTAGTCATTATCGAATCTAGAACTTCATGTGGAAAGATAAATACTTCTAACCAATTGAGGTACAAGTCCTTTGCAAAGATTTTTGTGTCATTCTCTTATCATCTAAGGGCTCGTTTGGTAACGTTTTCAAAGAATATTTTCAGAAAATGAAAACAAAAAAATGAATTTGCATTTTCAAAAATCGAGAATGATAGTTGAATTCGAAAACAGTTTCAGAAAACAAAAACAGTGAAAACGTGTCTGGTAGTACAATTTGAGAATAATATAATGGATCGTGTAACTAGTATATGAGTGGTTTTTCAAAGTCATTTTTGTTAATATCTCATCCATTAAAAAAAATATAATTAAAATAATATAATAAAATTTCAATGGTAGAAAAAAAATATATATATATCTTCTTCTCTTATTAACAAAACGATGAAGCATTGGTTTTTTTCACAATTTTACGTCCATCTTCTCGACTTTTCTTCTCCCAACTCATAGATTCCACACCACGAGTGCTACCCCCACCTCCCCTCTTTTTTTTCACTGTCTCTCTTCACTCCCTCTTTATTTGTCATTATCAAAGTTGCACAGTGTTATCCTACTTGCACCACTTAATTTGGTAGTGAGTTTTGTTAGGTTTCAATCTTCTATATCTATCGTGCCTATGGAGGTTGAAGAAAATTTTAGAGAGGCAAAAACAGAGCAATGAAATATAGAACCCATGGGGTTTGGTGTAGTGGAAAAGCCAAAGTGCTTGGGGACCGAAGGTCCCGTGTTCGAATGGGCTGCACCACACACAAAGGTGTGTAAATAAACTCCATTATAAATCTAAGAAGAGAAAAGGATAGATCGAGTCCTTGTAAAATCTGTCATTGCACCAAAGAATAGTGACGATGTGGAAAGAGAAAGTGAAAAGAGTTCGCATGCTTTTCTATTTTGCTAGAGATAATGTTTCTGTGTTTTCTAAATTAGAATTTGGAAGAATGAAACGTCTTTTTGGCGTTTTTCAACCTAAAGAGTAAATACTGAAAACTTTCTCGCAAATCATTTTCCATGTTTTCTTAAATCTATTTTCCACTCTAGAAAATGAAAATGGGCCTTAAAAAATGTAAACGAACAGGTCCTAAACGTTTCGAAGTATGTACAAAAAGAACTTTTATTTTTTATAAAAGTAATATTTTATTTTAATCTAATCTAAATTATGCGTGGAGAATTTCATTTGAGAGCACATGAGCTCTAACCATATTGAATAAGCACATGTTCAAAGACCTTTTTAAAACTTTTTAAAAACTCTCGAGTTAGACTGTCCGTAAGCAGGTGAAAAAATGCTGCTGCAGGTGCATTCCCTCTCCCCAAGTCAAAAATAGACTGATAACCCGAAAAAGGGTGAGCTCGAATCCGATATCGAAGCAGCGTCAATGGCTTCTCGGTCACTCTTCCTCACTCTCAGACGGTAAGCACAATCAAATTCTTCAATCTGTTTGCCCATTTCTCCTTTTGGCAGCCGAGAAAAAGCAGAAAATTAAAGAAAAAACCGATAGTCTGAATTTCAAAATCTCGGGTTTTAATCAAAACCTCTAACCCAAGATGAGTTCAATGCTATTGAATCTCATAGCTCAAACCCAATTGATTTCTTAATTTCTCAGTTCCAAATTACACAAAATTTTCAAACTCTGAACTTCTTATGTTGCAAACCCTAGGAAATGCAGTGCGAGCAGCGTCGTCAGCAACACTTTGCGACCCAATCTTTCTAGATTGTTCTCTTCAGGTGCTCTCAGCAGTGAATGTGTCCAAGACTCTCAGGAAAATGACGACCTCAAGAGCAGAATCTTCAGGGTGAGGCTGCCCAAGCGAAGCGTCACCAACGTTCTTCAGAATTGGGTCAGTGAAGGCAACCAAATTACCCTTTCAGAGCTTCGCCATATCTCGAAGGACCTTAGGAAGTCTCAGCGTTACAAGCACGCTCTCGAGGTTGGAAATTTTTCTCTATTTTTCTCCTTTTGATTTTATGTTTTTTGCACTGTTTGATATTTATCTGTTTGGTTGCCTAGAGACGATGGGAAGGCGAAAGCTTGAAACTTTAGAGTAGTTTTTTTTTTTCTGGGTATGAATAACATAAGTAGGATTTGTTCCGGCACTGTAAAGGTTGTGGCTCTAACATAAGTAGGATTTGTTCCGGCACTGTAAAGGTTGTGGCTCTGAAATATTGTTCTGTTTATTTGGAATCTATGGGGCACTTGCATATTTTTCATTTGCAAACCAATTCCAATGGGTTTTTGTTGAACAATTCCAATTATTGATTAAATAAACGGAATCACTTATGATAGATTGAATAACTTTTACCTTTGTTCTAGAAAATGGTTGGTTTAGAAAAGGTTTAAAATGATGTCAGGTTAATGGCTTAATCCAAGCATTATGTTAAGTCACGGGGTGAGCGTTGGAAAACAGATAAGAAATCAATCGTTTATAGGCTCATACATTTAGGTAATGTTGAAAGGAAATATCATAAGCCTAAGATATATAATTTTTTTTTTCCTGACATAAAACTTTAGTAGGTTGGGCTAGGTGAAGCTGTTGGTGATGTCAATTTTCATTTTGTTTCGTGATACAGGTTTTTATTTCCACAATCCCAAATTGTTAAATGTAGCATTACTTCACAGACTATTCTCTAGACAATCCATATGAGACAAATAGCCTTTCTTACTCTAGGATTAGGTATGCTTTCTCTTTTGATCTTTTTTGAAAATACTTGTTACACCATTTTTTGCCTAAGAAAGTAACATGCTTTCAGAAATTTCCAGAAGTTTGAAAATATCTGGATGCATAAGTTATCAGAAACTAATTGGCAATATAAAAACATGGGGAGGTGTGACAAGGGTTTTGTTTGTGGCCCTGGTTTGAGGCTTGGGGCAATGGGTTTTGCTTGTGGCCCTGGTTTGAGGCTTGGGGCAATGGGTTTTACTTTTAATACTTAAAGTCTGATTTTATTAGTAAAATGGTTGGCCAAAGCTCAATCGTTTGGATAAGTTTGATCTTAAAATAGTCTAAAGCTCTGCAGCACGCAGACTCCCTTCTCCCCCTCCTCCAGATTAGAGATTTGCTCTGATCTGTGTGCCTTTTCTTTTCATTCTCATTGTCTCTAGTTTTCTGATGATTGTTTTGTTTGGAAATTTTAGCACTAATTAAGCACTTAACTAGTGGTTTTAAACAGGGACAAGTTATTGCTAAGAACTGATTGATTGACTAAATGGAGGGACAAGTTACTGCCAATCACCAAACTACTATTTGTTTCTTGTTCCAAAAGATGAACCTTAGGAAGAAAATTAAATTTGATATTCATATGTCTCTATCAGTTCTCTGTTGGGAATGTAATTGCTAAATTTTTAATGGATTCTGTTTTGTAAATTATACAAGCTTGCAGATATCCGAGTGGATGGTCAGCCATGGTGAATATGAGGTATCAGATTCTGACTATGCAGTCCGCATTGTCTTGATGACAAAAGTTTTTGGTATCGATTCTGCGGAACGCTACTTTGAAGGTCTACCTCTTACTGCAAAAACTACTGAGACCTATACTGCTCTCCTCCACTCTTATGCTGGGGCTAAATTGACTGAAAAGGCTGAGGACCTCTATGAGAAAATAAAGGAGTCTAAACTGTCCCTTAGTGCCCTTACATACAATGAGATGATGACTATGTACATGTCAGTGGGGCAAGTGGAGAAGGTCTCTTTAGTTGTTGAAGAACTGAAACGGCAGAAGGTTGCGCCAGATATCTTCACATACAATCTCTGGATAAGTTCATGTGCTGCAACTCTGAAAATTGATCAAGTTCAACAGATTTTAGATGAAATGAGATGTGATCTTGGTTTTGGTGAAGACTGGGAGAGATACATTAACCTGACAAACATCTATGTTAGCGTTGGGCATCTTGTGAATGCAGAGTCCAATTCTCTAGTAGAAGCTGAGAAAGGAATCACACAAAGAGAATGGATTACATACGACTTCCTCATTATTTTGCATGCTGGTTTAGGAAATAAAGACAGAATCGATCAGATATGGAAATCCTTGATAATGACGAGACAAAAGATGACAAGTAGAAACTATATTTGCATTCTTTCTTCATATCTAATGCTTGGACACCTAAAAGAAGTGGGAGAAGTTATTGATCAGTGGAAGCAATCATCCACTACAGATTCTGTTGTTTCTGCCTGTAAGAGGCTTTTGAATGCATTCACAGACGTTGGATTCACTGAAAAAGCACACAACTTCGAGACGCTTCTGAATCAGAAGAACTGTGACCCTACAAATTCATTAGAGTAGAACCAAAAATGAGTTTTGTATGAGGTAATGGAACATGTGTAGGCCAATTTTGTGATGTCTGGACCATTTGGAAGAGGAAATAATTAAAAAGTTCTTGCAGGTTTTCCTTGTACCAAATGACAATAAAACGCCAGTATGAAACCTTCATTGAGTTGGTACTTGTGCTGCTTGCTTTCCATATTCAAGTCTTGAAGAATATTGTCTTCATGAAATTTAAAGTTTGTATTTATCTTCCCCATCTTCTGTTACCTTGGTTCCGATTTCCTGGTACCTCATCTCAAGTCAGGTAAGGTTGCTTTTTAAACTCTTCTGATTTCCTCATTTTGATTTTGCACAAAATGTCAGTGTGGTACTATAGTTGATCGCAATTATCTGGCCCACAAAATATACGGATGGCTAGAGAACGCATGCCTACAAAAGTAAGTAGCACTTGAACACTTGAAGGTTGAAGCCACTCTAGACTCATGTTTCAGCAACATTGTAACACCATTGTTGAGTATTATAGTTGAGTGAATAAATGCAATATGTAGTGAGGCCAGTTGGTGAGGATAGTGAACCTACTTTCTTGCACCTAAGTTCAAGTCGAGTCCCCCTCCCTGCATATTGGATTAATTTAGAGTAGTTCCATGAATAAATAATATGAAGCCAGGGGCGGGGGTAAGGTAGGGGTTTTGACCGAATAAAACAATGCAAATCAGCAAACCTGCTGAACCGAACCAATCAGGTCGGTCTTATTTTCTAAGATTTCAATTTTGGTTCTTAAACCGAATCGAGCCACCCCTACTCAGTTCGGTTTACGGTTCACAACCTCCAATATTGTTGATTCCACTGAACCAAACCAACACCACCATAAATGCTTTAAATTCCAAAAACTAGGACCAAGAGGATTCAAACCCTTGACCACTCGTATAGAATTCCGAACACAACTCTACTGTGGAAAGTTAGTTTCTTGTGGCCTTGTGGGCTTTAGTTGGGTCTGGGCAGCTTTATGTCACCTTTTTGGCCCCTTTTAGGCACGAGGTAAAGGTGGTGCAACCTATTAAATGCCTTGTGTACTTGTGCTGCTTGCTCTTTTGGGATGAGCCCTATTTGTACTTGACACCAACAATTTTGATCTCCAATTTTAGCCTAACATTTTAAAGATCATTTCAGTACTTTCTTATTTGGCTGCATGCTTAAAGATTATTTGGACCTTCCCACAAGTAAAAGCACAGATTTGTTTTAGAAGTTCTTCTATTAGAAGAACGTTAAATTTTTTTTTTTTTATATATGAAAAATCAAAGTGTTTTATGGAAAAACATTTGGAATCGATTTTAAAGTACCTGAAAAAAGTGCTTTTATGACCCAAAAGTATTTTAATTTTTCTGTCAAACATTGTCAGAAACACTTTTAATTATCATAAAACGATTTTAGCCTTCTTAGAAGCAATCATTTTGTGTTGGGCGGTTAGTATCTAATAGAAACAATCTGGTTGAAAAACAAGTGCCAAAATTAGTTGCATGAGGGTTCACTAAATCTTTCCTGGCAGATCTTTTGTCTAGTTTCAAAACATAAATGTGGTGAAATTGAGACATTGGGATTTGAGTTCTGATTTTAGGTTGATATCAAAGACTTTTCCGTGGACTTGAAAAAGGGCTGGGTAAGTTTTGAAAATAACATAGAAAAGCATTCGTATGTAACTTCATGTTTGAGCTAGTATTTTGCTTTTTATCTTCTTTTATGCGGTGCATCCCCTGTGCTCCTTCACACAAAAATCAATTTCTATAGCCTATAGGTATATAATAATATAATGATACGTGAAAAAATTATCTTACGTTTTATTGTGATATTGGCCAGAAATAACAAAAAGTATTATCCTCATCATTGCATGTGAGTTTCTCTCCTTAGAGCATCTCCAAGGGAGATGTCAAATACCAAACATCAAATTTAAATTTGATGGCTGATGTGGCAATTTGACATCTTACACAGCTTTACACTCCACCCGATATGTCAAATTAAATTATTATTTTATTACATTTTAGTGTTGATTTATTTTTAATTAAAAATAATAGAAAAGAAAAAATAATAAAATATTCATTTGACATCTTGCTTTTGGGATGTCAAAAATAACATCTCAATCTTCAGCCTTCATTCCACATCAGCTTTGACACATCGGTTGGAGTGTGTGAGATGTTATTTCTAGCTGTTAAATGTCTATGTG